TTATTTATAATTATTAATATTAATAAGAGATGGCGCCTAACGCTTACCTCTAGTACCAAATTGATTACGTAATTTATTTAATAATTAGCATAAAACTAGCCCGATAGATTTTCGGCAGTCTGTTGGTTGTAGCTATATTAAATATCGGGTTGGAGATGTTTGTATAAACAATAAAACTTATTGTTATGCAGTCTTTTCAATTTCAATCTACTCTCACAACCAGGGGTGGATCTAAGATTTTCAGGGCATAGGTTTTATTGAAGTCCAATGGGCCACCTTTTTTGTTAGATTAAGAACCTTTAAATTGGAGTTTAAAATTCATTTTTAATAACATCAAAAGCAGAGTTGAAATATATTTATTTATGAAATGGTGTTGAATGACAAACTTTATATCGATAAGTGCTCATTGTTAATGAAAAAGTATTAAAAATTTATGATGATAATTCTATTTTTGTGGGCCCAGGACTTAAGTCTTATTAGTCCCTATGTAGTCCGCCCCTACTCACAACTTGTAATTTTGTAATCTATGCAGATAGTTCTTTCAAACTAAACTGAATTTAATCAGATTGTATATTTAAAATCGATGTAGTTTCTAAAAGTAAAATTATATGAAAAATTTATGTACTAAGTTAAGTTTTTATAACAAAATTTTGTATTTAAACATTAAAAAATTAAGAAATTAAATAAAATAAAAATAATTATTGCAAATTTGATTTCATGAATTTTAAAATAAAATATAAATAAAAATACTAATAAACCAGAAAAAATCTTCAGTTAAGATTTATTTTATAAGTCAACTGTAAAGTATTTACAGTGAAATTCAGTTAACCCTGCATCCAGTATACTGGCATGTCGCGCTCATCATTGGGAAGGGGAGTTATCTGTGTGCTGGGGTAGGTCTAGTGTTAAGATTTTTGTGTAAAAACATTTAAAACATGCAATTCTTAGAAAGGGAGTGTGGGTTTTCCTTTTAGAGATGACAAATGCCAAGACAACATGAATCTGTGCTAGATAAAACCAGTTTCCAAGGAATAAAAAAACCGGAAAAACTTTCACCACCCAATATACATTTGATAACCCAGCACTACATCAGTCCCAATGACGCAGAGTTAACAGAATGTCACTGTAATAAGATACAGTAAGTTCATTCTTTTAGATTAATGGAACTACCATTGCATACTTTCCTTACAATTTCTCATTTCTCTGATATTTAAACCCACATCAAATCTTACATTACAGAAAAATCCTTATATTCATCTTTTATTCACTACCCGATAAACCTACCCTTATATAAGCTTATAAATTCATGAATACACACTAAAAAACAAAAAATAACACATTAATATTTCAAATATTCTCATATTATAGAACTTTCTATTTTATTATTATGTACAACATGTTAATTTTATTTGAAACATACCTTAATCATTTCACGTACATAACATTCCATAGCTTCTTCCTTTGAAATAGAACCTAACTTCATCCATGCATCCCTTTTCAAAGACAATTTTATAAATTACTACATAAATAAAATATTGATCTATGTAAACAATGTACAAATAAACACAATAAAATATGTGGAACTACTGAAACTAATTATAGAGTTGTTATATACAGTAGAGCATCGATTAACCGAAACAATTCGGGACTGGGGTTGTTTGGATAACTGATCATGTACGAAAAAATATATTAACCTAACCCATGTTGAAATTTTTCTCTGTTGCATGTTGCTTTGCATTGAATTTTCATCGATGTTAAGCCTAAGAAAAATTTTTTTAAAATAATAATCATGGCTATTGTATTGTTAAAAATTATTTCCTTATTTTGTACAAACAAAATAAATATATTGAAAAATATAAAAACAAAAAAATTATATTTCAGAAGTTAATCTAGTATCAAAATCATCCCAATTCAGCATGACACACAGCCCTCAGAAAAACACCACAAAAAACAAGCAAAACTCACCACTCATGGTGGGGGAAAAAAGCCTCATTTAAATACTGGCGCGTCCTTAAGTACCTTCTCATGGTCACGCCAGTGCTGCCAGCTAAAACACGCACACCAACAAAAATAATATTCAAGTAGCCCAAGACATAGCCAAATATTGCAGTGCCACAGCACTAGCGGAAATTTGAATTGGAACGCTTTCGGTTAACCGATGTTTCGGGTGATCGGTATTCGGATAATCGACGCTCTACTGTAGTTCTTCCATATTTAAATTTGAAACCAAAGATTTAAAAATAAATATATTTTATAAACACACATTATATAAGACAATAAATTACAGTACATTACATAAAGTACAATGTATGGCTATCAATGAAAGAAACTAAAGTTTAAATAATAAAAATACATTTGCTATAAATCAGCAACCGCACACCGGGTTGTATATAAGAAAATACGACTTACATAAATCTATAACCGGTGCATACAAAGATTAAACTTTGTACGTACCGGTTATAGGTTTATGTAAGTCATATTTTCTTATACATTTCCTATTACACACATGTCCAAAACTTAAGGACAAACACAATTTCTAGCAGCAATAGCTATAGAAAAAGTCACCAAGACAGTCAGTAACAAGCAGTCATATTGTTGTGAGTGCCGCATCATAGTTCAAGATGGACATATTCCATACAGAAGGGTCTCTCTTCCTGGAAATTGACAAGCATTTTCCATTCATTCTCCACCTAAGTCCAACCGTGTAAATACAGTAGAGCGTCAATTATCCGAAAGTCAATTATCCAAAAGAATTCCAGTCGGCAAATTTAAATTTTCGCCAGTGCTGTGGCACTGCAATCTTTGGCTATGTCTTGGGCTACTCAAATATTTTACATTTTTGATACTAAATTAACTTCTGAAGTATAATTTTTTATTGTTTTTATATTTTTCAATATATTTATTTTGTTTGTACAAAATAAAAAAATAATTTTTAACGATACAATAGTCTTCGTTAGGCTTAACATCGACAAAAATTCAACGTAAAGCGACACGCGACAGAGAAAAATTTCAACATGGGATAAATTAATATATTTTTTCGTACATAATTGGTTATCCAAAATATCGATTTTCCAAACAACCCCCAATTGATTCAGATAATCGACGCTCTACTGTATCTTTTTTACCAAAGACTTACTTTTATTGCTTTGATTTGTAAAATGCTACAAGTCATTGTGTATTACCTTGTAATATATGTCAAGTGTATAGTTCTTGCCATATTTTTCTGCATTCATCTACAGTTCTTTCTATTCATGCACATAGATGAAATTTAGTATATATAACTTAGAAATGTAACAGAAATTCACCAGCTTAATAGAGAAGTTGTATTTTATCAAATACATTAAAATTTTTAAAGAACATACTTTCTCAGATGATTCAAATCAAAAATTGAAATCAAAATCAATAATTACCAATACACAAAATATTCTTGAAATGTATATATACAGTGGAACATCACTTAACAAGCACCTCACATAATGAGTGAAACAAATAGTAAAAAAATGACTTGCTTAATGAGCAATGTTTCGCATAATGAGTGACAAGGAAAGGGAAAGTCCCGAATTGTGCGCAAGCTCCATCAATCTGTGTTTAGCACTCATTCCGTTAGCATCTTAGTTTCGCTTGTGACCACACATTTCTCCAAACTTGTGTTCAGACATACCACATATAAACATCAACAACCATAGCCTGTTATATAATAAACATGCCAAACAATATGCCAAATTCTTGGGCTATGTGAAGGCTATAATTAAATATTAGAAATTAATTAAATTATTGACTAGAGGTAGGTAGTTATGCTGCCATCTCGTATTAAATTTAATGAACAATTCCAAATTAAATTTTAGAAATGTCTAAATTAAAAATTAATTATGTATTTTCTTAGCATAAGCAACCTTATGCTAAAAAAATACATATAGTAAAGAGAACAGCAGCAACCAAGATCTAAAAATTAATTATTTGTAATTATTAAACTTAATACGAGATGAATGCATAACTGCCTACCTCTAATCAAATTAATTAATGTCTAATATTTAATTACAGCCTTTACATAGCCCAAGAATTTGGCACATCGTTTGGCATGTTTATCAGACATATTATCTGTGATTATTTTTGTTTTCTGCAAATTGAATTTGCATTGGTTCATTCCCCACTAGAAGAAAAGATGAAGATGATTCACACTCCTTAACAATGTAGGCCTATATTGTACAATTGTCTTTGAATAAACGTTATACATAAAATATTAGAGAATTTTTTCGGGATGGAACACATTTTAGTATTTTACATTAATTTCTATGGGAAAAATTGTTTCACTTAATGAGTGTTTCGCATTATGAGTAAGATTCTGGAACGAATTATGCTCGTTAAGCAAGGTTCCACTGTATAGGGCCAAAGTTTCAAATTTTTTTCAAATTATGGTTCTAATTTTGTAATGAAGCACTTTTTTCAAGTAGATTTCATAAGCAAAATTATTTAAAATTTTATTATTTACTCCAAGGAGTGTATTTCATTTATTTATTTTAATTACGAAAGTTTTTCATTTAATTTTAATAAATTATTAAAATGAAAGCTTTCAAATGTAATTAAACTTCTCACCATTTTGCTCTTGCAATCAGATCCCAAAAATTTGGTTTTGGCAGTGTACATGGTCCTTCAGTAGCTTGTTTATAATAAGAATAAAACTTTAATTGTATAGCTCTGGTTGGCTGAAAGGCACCTGTAATTTTAAAATCAGAATAAATGATTCTCAACAAATAATTATGATAATAAAATGACAAAGGTTTATGATAAGAATTTATGGTAGGCATGATTATACTGTATATACTGATTAATAAGGCTAAATAATTACTAAGCAATTTGGCAGGAGGCAGACCATCAGGCCATCATTTCTTGTTTAATTAAAATTTTTGAATATTCTGGAAGAATAGATTGAGTCCGAGTGAAACTCAAACTCACTACTCCTGCTTACCGTGCAGACAGGTTGCCAGTTATGATACTTTTCAATCTTTTCTTCCAGACTAGTTTTAGATATAACCATATTAGTCACTCATGGTGCCGACTAGAGGCAACTTAGCAGCTATAACCCTCAGTCAGTTTACACTTTAACTCCATATTATGAATATTTCAATAAATAGATTAAATACCATCCAAAATCAATTATTATAACTTGAATGTGATCTGGCAATAGTTATTTATTTTAGGAACCTAACAAATGAGTGTTTGTATTATATCACATATAACTAAACATTAATTCGTTATAGTATAACTGCAATTTACGAGCATACCTTGTTCCTGAAAACTTCATACATTGAAATCTCATAAAGAGATATGAGCTTATCTATTATTCCTTATGATCAAATTTGTATCTTGTTTCAGTATAATGGAGTCACCATACTCATATTCCCCAAATAATATCAAAGTACTACAAAACTTATATTTACCTATTAACTGATAGCTCTAAATGAAAGGGGATTAAGGGGTTAAAGACCTTAGACATAAAAATGATCACATAATAAAACTGCATAAACATTGCCCAAGTAAAATAATGTTTTTGTTGATTGCAAATGGACTTTATACCTATACAAACATCCCAAAATCTGATGCATATTATTACTATGTCAAACAACTGCCGGATTAAATCGGGCTACTTCTCCGCTAATATTATTTATTAATTTCCAAATAATTCGTCACTAGAGGCAGGCATTAGGCACCATTTCTTATTAAATTTAATAATTTATAAATAATTTAGAATTACAGGAACTGCTCTACTTTCAGCACTGGGGTGAAATTAACGTTACACTATCTGGAACCTGTTACCAGTGCTTTACGCGTATATATAGTATATTGCTTGACAAACGTTTTCGAGTGATCAGTTCGCTCTTCTTCAGGTCGACTGAAAATTCCCCGGTCGGCGTGTATATTTTTCGTTTGGATCAGGTGTCGGATCAGACTGGGTGGGCCGTTTCTGGCATGCACGGTCGTGTGGTGGGGGAGGAAATGGCGGGTTGGCGTCTAACAGCGATTGCCAGGCCAGAGACAGGGTTTATCTCTTCCTTCCGGTTAATGCAGGTGGCTAGCCGGCTGGCGTTGTAGATAGCGGCAGCCTCTAGCCACCTGAGATGCTGTTGGTGGGGCGTGTTGATGATGATGATAGTAGCCTTCTCTAGTTAAGCCTCGATTTCGGGGTCCGACGCATATGTGGCCAGGGCTGTGGTTAGCCTCCCGTGTCGGGTATCCGCTTGGTGTTCACGCAGGCGGGTGTACAAGGAGCATTTGTAGACAGAACGCAGACCTATTATACATTGGCTCGACCAAATCATGTTAGTGCACCCCCTTGCTAAATTTCTGGCTGTGCTACTGAACCAGTACTTTTGATGGAGGTTATTAATCATATTTTGTGTTCTTTCAATGCATAATGCCTGAAGATGATTCATGTTACAATTTGCTAGCGTGAATAATATAATACATTTTAATCTTTTCATAATCTATATAATAACCTGTCAAATTAATTTTTCATTACAAGGAAAAATGAGATCATATATTATTAAACTGCAATTAATAAATAATTAATGATAACTTTCATAATTAATTGCATTTTTCCTCCAAATTCATTTTTTCAACAGAAATTTCAGATTAACCTTTTGCTATTGCATCAGTATAAAGATATATTTTATTATGGTGATATTTATTTTAATTTTTGTAACAACATGATAATTAATTTAGTTTATTAAATATGTGTTTATTAAGACCATTTAATATTAATTTTTGTACAATATTTAACAGATTTGAATGTAAAATTTTCGTCCGATGGCAATAATTATAATTAAATACATATCTGTAGACCAGTAGCCTACAATGAAAGGTCAGTCATCAAGAATGTATAGTCTAGAATACAAAGATAATAAATGGTGGTTTCTTTTTTTGGGAGGACTTTGTCTTCAGATATTTATTTAATGTGTAAATAAGTTAATGATATTACAAAAAATTTTAGTTAGAAGTTATAAATAAAAGTGGAACAAATAAATAAAATTAATTTAAAAGAATACGTAAACAAGTAGAACTGCATTATATTTATTATTTATCTATTTCAACTTCCAGCCCTACAGACAAAATATGTAACTGATGAGGAAATCAGGTTTTCGAAATGCGTTTTGTAACCAAGGTGTTGGAAAAGAAGTTTAATATTGTGAAATAAACTACAATTTGGAAAGACGCATTATTGTAGACTGTCTATAGAATTGGAGGTTGAAATATATATACCCAGGGTGGCCAAGCTCCTTGATAGTCCAAGCCATTTTTCAAAATTTGAAATTTTTCGCAAGCCGCAATCAAATATGTATTAAAAAGGTATGCAAAAAATTTCAGATTACGAATTATATCCGTAGCAAGAGTGATACAAATTGTTTCCAATTTGTCCAGAGCACAATGTCAACTGTCCGTTGCAATGACAGTTTACAAATTCAAAATCAGTCTGGAGTCGGTCAATAACGGACGATTACGCCACTGTTTATGTTCGTTCACGCAGTTTTCGATGAGTCATAGCATTCTTAACTTGGACGGAAATGAAATTTGTTACAACGTTGCACTTAGTCTTACATATTTGTTGTTAATAATTTAAAAGACATTTTGAAACACGTATGGAACGATAATAATTTTAAAAAATATAATAACACAAAAATGAAAAGGGAACTCGGGTACATTTATCGAGAGCCACAAATAAATCCTTCAAAGAGCCGCATGTGGCTCGCGAGCCGCAGTTTGCCACCCCTGATATATACCGTATTTACTCACATATAAGACGAGGTTTTTACTCATTTTTCACTGTTTCAAAAACCTAGGTTGTCCTATACATGCGAGCAAAGGATTCTTTGTGTTTTTTGCAATAATTTTTGTGAACTGTTTATAGTTCATACTGCCATTATAGCAGGGTGCTATGGAGGTCAAGGTAAATGTCACTTTCAAAGAGATGGTCGAAAATAGCTGGTCACTTAGCAATGATTATAAATGTAATTATTTCATATTTGTTAAATTGATATTTTTAATGAATATTTGCACATTCTGAATCATTAAAAATAAACTTTTTTCAGTCATGTGTATTATAATGTTTTGGTTTTGCTACACGAGTATCAGATGTGTGGAAAAGCATTCTTCAAGAGCTGATAGCAAAGTCATTCAAGAAATGCTGCATTTCAAATTCACTTGACGGATCAGAGTGTGGCTATATGCCATATTTTTGTATATATATATATACTGTATATATATTTTAGATTAAATAGTTTTAATAACTCTCTCCCCTTAATCCTTCTTTCTAACTTCCTTTGTTTATTGTTCTGACTTCTGTGAACAAGGGCTCTCCCCTTCCCACCCACTAGGGGGTCAGGTGGGACAATGCACTTTGAGGAAGATAGTGAGTAGAAAACGGAGTCTCTAACAGTCATTCTTAAGCTGGACACGGAAAGACGCGGACGTAGATCAGTAAGCTCATGAGACGGAATTCGACGAGTGCAGAACTGAGAGCCATGAAGTGGAGATCCAGACAATAGAATCGGAGAGACCATCAAAGCTATTAAGGAAAGGACATTCAGCACATGAAAGAAGAGCCCAGAGCTACTTAAAAAAAAGACACAAGTCGACATCAAAGTTCATAGAGTATTGGGTACTCCACTATCCTATTCATTCTTCTCACTTCACTATCTCTAGATTTTCTATCTTTAAGATTAATTAGTTAGGGATTGCGCGTTTTTTATTATTATTATTGGGTAAGTAGTTACCACGGAAGTGAGCTACTTGGTTTGTTATTGCCAACAGGCAGTGAAGGAAATTGGTATTGTGAGAGACCGAGGGAATCCAAAAGAACTTTTCTGTATATAATTGTTCATTGTGAAATTAAATTTGTTTTAATCAAATTCACATGTTTGTGTATTCTTATCACGTTTCACACTTTTACAAGAGGACAATGCTTTGTGGAGTGAGAGTGAAAAAAAGAAGAGTTGTCATGAAGCTTCAGAAGGCAAATCCAAGTAGACAAAAGGTGATAGCATCAAGAAAACATGGTTGTTTGCCTTAACATGTACATTTGATAATATTTTATTTGTGATTAAATGAAATAAAATTAGAATTGTATTAATAAATCTAATTTTCTTTATTTTGATCTTTAAAGTCACACCTCATCCTATATACGAGATTGTCTTATACGCAAGTAAATACAGTATATATATATATAAGATAATTATACTTTTGTAATTAATATGTGTAATAATAAAATTAATTGGTAAATATAAAATAAATTTGACTAGCATGTAGAATGCTAAAGTACAGTCGACCCCCTATAACACTGTTGATTATTCTGTTTTATATGAATTCCATGTTGTACAAGTCACTTAGATTGTACAAATACGTGTGCTGGGCTGTGAACGGCTCATGTATTTGTAAAATCTAAGTGACTCGTACAACATGGAATTCTTATAAAACGGAATTATCAACAGTGTTACAGGGGGGTCAACTGTAAACTTATTACTATTACTTAATATCTTGAAAAGAGAAGAATATTCAGTTAACTCTAATAGCCAAATCTAGACAGGATCTATTCTATACAGTGCACAGTTTGTTCCTTGATTACAGATGTTTATTCTAAATGCATATATCAGTGGTGGAAAACCTTTTTGAATTAGAAAACCATATCTAACTTTAGAGGGACCTAATATGCAACACATTATA